CCCACCCCCCCCACCCCACAAAGAGGACTGATAAGACCAATTCAGCTCTGATGGCAAAAGTGCTCACAGAGACATGATTTATTTAAATAGCTGGATATTTTTTCCTTGAAGGGAAAAAATAAAATGTTTCAATTTGGTCTCATGGCGGAGAATGGTTCGGATCGATACTGAGGCTCATCCGGTTCCAATGCTGAGCCTGTGATTGGAATGTTGCTGGTTCAAATCCCAAGGCCCGCAGAGTGATGTCACCACTGGGCCCCCTGAGCGCGGCCCTTAACCCTCAATTGCTCCAGGGTTTTGCTGACCCCGTTTTCTCAAAAATATGCACGTTACTTTGGATAAAAGTGTCTGCGAAGTGAACGTGCACACGCAAGTTCTCAGGACCTGCCGCATGTAGGCAGTTCAAGGGCTTCCCTTCCGGTTCTCGGTCCTGCGCCGGAGAGGAGGCTAATTGAATGTACGATCTGACGGCAGAGGTGTGTGCGGAACACGCCGCTGCTTCTAAACGCCCTCTAATCGCTGGATTTGGGACCGAGCCAAGAGGAATTAGCGGGCTGGCGGGTGCCGCTTGTCACTACGTCTTTGTTTATACCGATTTAATTCGCCGCCGGCGTGCCGCCCCCCGGCACCTACGGTGAACGGCAGCGGGTGGGGAATGTGAGCAGGACAGGGAACCATTAACGTCCGTGGGACAGCAGAGCCGACGATCCCAGGGAACCTTCCGGAATCCACTTGTGACACGCCGGCAAACGTGTGGAGTGGGGGGGGGGGCTCTGGGCTCTGGCTTCACTGCAGGTCACTCAGCATGAAGTTCAGATCCGGACCCCCGGAAACCCCCCCCCCCCCCACCCCCCGCTGCGTGCTTAAAGCCTAATGACGTTCACGCAGGAGCGGGTCAGCAAATGAGCCGAATGGGGTCCAAATGGACCAGGACCTAAAAGAGGCATTTAGAGTTAGACTTCCTGCACCCCCCCCCCCCACCATCTCCCTGTCTAATTGCCCTCCAAGGCTCCACCAGCTGCACAGCTCTTCAGAGACTCTTTACGGGGGGGGGGCATGTGCATGCGTGGATTAGGGTTATATGACATTGTGAGGACCAAACGTCCCCCACAAACCTGTTATTATGACATTCACAAAGATCTGTGAATATAATCAAAAAAGTGAAAATGCCAAAAGTCTCGTATTTTGTTTGGTTACTTACGGTTAAGGTTAGGGCTGGGTTAAGGTCGGCATGTTGGGATTACAGTTCTCTCCATAGAAATGAATGGAGAGTCCCAATAAATATATAATTACAAACCCGTGTGTGTGTGTGTGTGTGTGTGTTTTTCAGTTCTCACTATCCAGCGCGGAAAGTAGCCGTGGCTCCCACGAGCTTCCTTCTGCCAGTCACTCCCTCCTCTTCCTCCCCCTCTACCCGCTCAGCCCCGCGACCAATCCACAGACGAGAGGATCAAACAGCCGGGAAAGGCTGAACCCAGGAGCATCGCTGAGGGCTGCACTGACGGGCAGGAGGCTCGAGAGCCAGCCTGGATATAACAGGAAAGTCCGGAGGAGAACGGGAAGAGAAGGTGCCTCCAGAAAGGCGCGAGCTCAAC